CGCTATATGGAAACATCCAGCTGCCGCCCCCCAGTGTCCCCCTTTCATAATGGGTGGCAATTTCTGTGCCATGGATGGGGTGTTGGCACACTACAATGCAATAGGATAGTGGTGCAAACCAAGTGCAAAACCAAGTGCAACACCAAGTGCAAACCAATGGCAGTGTACACAAATGGCAGTGTACCAATGACCTTGTACACTGTCTGCATACACAGTGATTTCCAGAGACATCCAACTCGTGCCCCTACTAGCCCAACATTTGAACAAAGGCAAAAACTTTGAGAACATCAGTTGCTTAATACAATGTTCCATCAGCTCCAATGAAAGCTTAGTGGAATACTAGTGGCAGTGCCCCAAATTTTTGATAAATTAACCTCTTTTTTTACTCACGAACTTTGATGCTTTTGATTCACAATACATGTGTATGAATTTTGGTCAACTTCCATGCTCTTCCCTGGTTACTTGCTCTTCCCTGGTAATCGTGCCGTCTGATTCCATTTCCCCAGACACCTCATGACCTGGTTCGGTGTCATGATCTTCATCGTTGTCAAAGTCATCTTCATCATCATCTCGGTCCATGGCATCTTCATCATCGTCTTCCTCATTGTACTTGGACTTCTTGGTTTCATTCTTTTTCTCCTTCTTGGCTTCTTTGTCCTTCTTTTTCTCCTCCTTGTCTTTTTTCTTTTTGTCATCCTTCTTGGGTTCTTGAGTGTTCCCTTTCTGCTCCTCATTCTTCAGGTTTGCCACTGGCTTCTTCTTGACTTGCTCAGCAGAGTCACTGCCTCCACTTCCACTGCCGGTGCCAGAGCCAGAAACATCACAGCGCTTCAGCAAGCTTTCAACTGGTCCTGAACAGGTGCTAGGAAACAGGCAAATGAAGGAAACATAGTTTACTGATGTCTTTCACAGCTGCAACTATGTCACTTGAAACATATTAGTTTGTGATTCGCAATCTATGACATAGCTGACTGTCCTGCGGCTGGTCGATGAGGTGCAGATGAGGCAGCAGCTGTTGAAGCAGCTGCAGGCACAGACCAGCCACCCAGTAGATCTGCATAGTTGTTTGCAGAGAACTTGGGTGTAAAGCTCATCATGTCAAAGTCTCCCATGGCTCCCGCGGGGGATGAAAGATCTCTCTCCTATATGGGCACACTTTGCACCAAAACCTACAGCGCAAGCATAAACAAGTGATGTGGCATCAACTGATGTGGTACATATTGTGTACATACTAGTGCATATTGGCTGGGTAGCTGATTTGAAGTTGAACCGAAAAGATTGTAATATTTTCCATCATTTGTGCCAGAAGTTGTGTCCGTTCTTTGACAGTTTACTGCCCCCCTAAATCAAAAGACTTTCTGGAGGCTCCCTGGCCATGAACCAAAGGGCCACAGGGCCTCATTGTTAAAATTAGTGAGTACGTACATGCACTTGGTATCTGTAATGGCCAAGGTTTCCCTCCAGGCCATTTGTACAGCAAGGTGCTGTACTGGCAAACCCCAAATCCCGCGCTAAGAAGTGTCATCGCAAAAGCTGGAAGACAGTCTTTGACTTCAAGCTGACGCTGCCACTGAGAGCTGCGATAGGTCGTACTGGCACAAGCTGCCGAGCATTGCTTTTGTCAGCGTGGATCCTTAGCATGTGGTGTGAGATGACTTGGTGGTTGAGATTGTTGGATATGTTTTGTTCTGACGGTTTACAAGATTGATATGTTTTGATATTTTGATAAGTTTGGTCAAGACACCTCAGTCGCCACAAGAGAGAGACATTGTTGCTGGAGCGAAGTTTTGCAAATTGAAGGCCGGTTCCAAAGGAGATCGCATTCACCTGGCACATAGAGAAATCATACATGAGGAAGTTTTTGGACAATAAGTCTTCATACAAAGTCAATAAATATCCTTTGACCAGACATCCCCCGCCTTCTTTTTCTTCTTTTCTTTGTCCTTTGGCGCGTCCAGAACAAAAACGACCTTGCCCAGTGCCTTGATGTTGAAGCTGCCATTGTCATCCTTTGTAACTTCATGCTCAGCAAAGCTAGTCTTGACTTCCCCTGCATTCTCCAGCGCCAGCATGAGTTCAGACAGTGGCATCACCTGTCACTGTGTTAGTATGTTGCTATTAAAAACCAAAGCCAATTTTAGATTGGACATTGTTTTTCATCAAATGCCCACCTTGTTGTAGATATCGAGTTCACGTAGATGTTCTGGAAGCTTCTTGGAATGTTCCAAGATTGCCAATTTGTCAGCCGCCGTGCCAGAGAGGTCGTAGAGCACCCAGCGGCCAGCACAATCACCCATAACATCTGCTGCCTCAGCCTGTTTGGCGAAGTCACCACTCCCAAAGCCACACAGCTCCTCATGCTCTGGGACCACATAGTCTTCATTGGAGTGTAAGAAGAGTGAACCGCTAGTGAGTGTCAAAGTCCAATGCCCCGATGGAAGATCCAACCTGGAAAAGGGGATCCTATTTAATATCAGAAAAAGGGATGCAAGAATTGTTGACTGAAAGGATGCAACCCAATAGGAGGGGAGTAAAGCTTTCAACCCATTATGAAGGGAATGATTTGTTCAGTGTTCTTCAAGCTACTTTGTTGCCACTTTGTGTAATAACCCAAGCCTGTCTTCAAACTTGCTTTCAAACTCATCCAAGGACATGGGCTCATTGGGAATGCAAAGTTTCTTGGCAGGCCTTGGGCTTGTAGATGCCCCAGTAGCTTCACTTCCCCTTTTGATGCCGCGTGGGTTGAACTCCTGGTTGTGGTCAGTGAGAAGGGTCTTCAGTTCAGCGCCAAAGTCATCCTTTTTCTCCCACTGTTCCACTAAGCATTGTTTGACCACCAGGGATTCAGCGACACCGATGCAAACAGAGTAGGATGGCTGTGGGGCAGGTGCCACAGCTTTCTTGAAGTCTGGGAAGCCTGGCAAGCTCAGAGTTCCTCCGCGGCAAAGGTCAAAAGCGCGATTGGAGATGATGGAGTTGCACCAGGCAGATTCCTGCTGTGTGTGCCCAACGGTTGCCGCTGCAATCTTTTGCCCTTAGGGATCTTGACAGGTTGCACTTCATGAAAAGAAGACTAGGGAACATTGCAAAGTAAAATAATAGTTGACATGATGTGGCACTGAAAAATCAAGATGGAGCGAAGTAACCTGCAGCAATCTGCTGGAGTGCGTAGACACCAGTCCAGCCATCATAGCCCAAAAGATCCACAATCACTGTGGCAGGCTTCGAGTTTGCAGGAGCCAAGCCCTCAATGATGGAGGACACGATACTGATGCCACCCATGTGCTGGCAGGGACATCAAAAGAGGGAGACAAGGGACCATTCATGGCAATAAGGGATCAAAACAGATTCAGAGTTAACCTGAGTTGGATACTGCAGGAACCATATATGACACAACATGCCATTTCATAAAATGGTTGGATCCTCCATGCCTCAGTTTTGAACCCACGCCCCACCTGCTTTTGCTCTTGGCCAGGGGTGAAGCGCTTCTCAGAACCATAGGTCTCTTTAGGCAGCTTCAACATGTCAGCACGCTGAAGCATCTTGACACCACCAACAATGCCTGACTTGAAGAACTTGGACTTCCAAACTGCATTGTTCTTGTCATTTGAGGTCACCAGAAGAACCTCATGGAATGCAGAGCGGCTCCCATAGACAGTCTCAGGCAAGAAAGAGACCACTGCAGGGCGCACCTTGCATCATAGTGTCTTGAAAGTTTCGAGGGTGCAAATAAATATGATGCATATTGAAACTGAACAAGATTACATCCAAGTGGCGCGCAAGTTGCGACCACGCTCCATGAGTTGGCACTTGAACTGGTAGTGGACATCCCGCAAGATAGCGTCCACCCCACCCTTGTCTGTGTCGGTGGCAGGAGCATCTTCATCATCATCAGATTCTGGCTCGCCTGTTGCCATCAACCCAGATTGAGTAGTGTCATTTACATACCAAATATATATAAAAAGTTCATATCAACTGTTTCAACAACTTGAACCATGCTATACCATGAACAAAGACCAATGAATTGCAGATTGACAAGAACGTTTTTGATTGTGCTCAGCCTTCTGGCTTTGATGCATCCTCCATATCGCAGTCCTCATCTTTGACTTCTGTCCTCAGGTCATCAAGACGATGGTCAAAGTCATCAATTGGCCCGGGGTCCTGTACTTTTTGCAACAACTAAGCCCAGCACTTGGAAGCAGTTCTTGGATCAGCAGCACGGTTGGGAAGGAGCAACACTGCCGCAAAAGACTTGGGGAAGTGGCTTGCCATGGACGTTATCTGAGAAAGGCAGAAGTGCTGTTTTGAAGCAGAGACTACTCCTGCACAAGGGTATGGTACCCAAGCAATGATCAGCTCATTGTCCACCCTGCGCAAACCACCATTCAAGCCGGCCAGGGTATTCTCTAGCCAGGGCATGAGCCTCGCTGAAAGGGTGCTGGTGTTGTCGACCTCACTTTCAGCACCTTAGTTTCCATCCAGGAACATCAAGTGTACCCTACAAACTTAGAGCTGAAGACCAACATGGGTAAATAGAATTTGCCAAAAGGGGCAATACGTGAATCTAAAGACTATAAGGCATTTAAAACAGGTACCAAGTTGCTAACACTGCCAGTCTCCTTCTGCCTTGTAGTCGGGGCATTGCACCAGGTTGGCACAGAGTCAGCCACAAAGCTGTTGATTTGTTTCCACGCCATGCCATGCATTTTCTGACAGGGTCAAATCCACCATTCATGAAAACAAACTTGACAGGTGTTTCAATTGTTTAGAATCCCTTGGTTTTGAATCCCTTTGTTCTCTGACAAGAACCTAGCCTCCAAAGACCCGATGATGGCAGCGCGCGCCCGACTTTCATCTCCAATCGAGGTGCTGAGATACCTTCGATGAACCATTTGGTCCTGCTCCAAGTTCGTCTTGAAGAGTTCAAAAGCGCTAGCCTGCGACTTCTTGAGAGCAGAGGCAGCTTTGCTTTGAGCAGCTTCAAGCTGGTGGTCCTGCATCAGCCCTTTCCCTTCCAGAACAAAAGACAACTTCCGATAGTCGAAGTCAGAGGGCATGGACTTGCAGTGAGCCCTCAGCTCCACATCCAAGGACCTGAGCATGTTACATAAGGGATTTGCCCTAGGCTAGACCTTGGACTTGGACCTAGCTTCAAAGTGGTTGATGTTAGTGGATCTGGGGATTTGGCCAGGGTCGAGTCGTGCGATTTGGGGATTTGGCCAGGGTCGAGTCGCGCGATTTGAGGATTTGGCCAGGGTCGAGTCGCGCGATTTTTAAAAATCTATGTACTCCATCAGGGCCAAATCCTGAAATCACTGCATAACTGGCTTCACAAAAAAAACTTCTCAGAATCCTGCGATTTTTAAATTTCCAGGGAGGAAACCTATTCCTTGGCAGCCCCAATGGATTTTTTTATGTGGATTTTCATCTTCCCCAAATACCTACATCCTTCCATGTGCTATGTGACATACATACAAAAATAGAAATCACTGCATTTTCAGGCCAACATAAAATTCATCAAAAGTTACCGCGATTTCCATTTTCTCAGAGAGTCCCCAAATTCCACATGTTCTCAATGGAATCCAGCTCTGGGCCCTTCCCAAAGTAGGTCTGCAGGTCAGCCTCGATGTGGGTCCAAAGGCAGCAAACCTCCAGCAGCTCTTGCAATCCAGCTGTGTCCCGCTGGGCCAGTTTCTGAGGGATGTCATTGTTTTAATTTGAAAATGATTGATTCCCAATTCATTGAAGTTACAGTGAAACATAGTGAAACTGTTTAACTCAATGGGCCTTCTGTTTCTTGGAGCTGGTGAGTGGAGGGGCTTTTCGCTGATGCTCCTCGACTGCCCGATGTGCCCAAAGGTTGACCTTCTCCACCGTGATGGTCTCACGGGGGGTTGCTTCTGGGTGAATGTTGACTGATGGGTGTCAATCAAATGAGAACAATGAACCAAAGATCATTTGGCCTTGACCCGCTTCCAAAATTCATCAGCCGCTGGTTGCCCCAAGATTGTGCCAGGGACAAACCACTCACCACCATCCATGTTGTCCAGGGTGAAGGCTGACAGGGTGCCACAAGTCAATGCTTCTGTTGTAGCATGGAAACATGATTTTAGTCATGTTGCTACACAACAAGCACTGTCTCAATCTGTCCTGACAAGTTCCACGCAACATCATTGGTGGAACCCTTGAGGATCTCCAGGAACTCATCACCGCATCGAAGCAGGTTGTAGAGGAATCGCTTGGTGGTCTCACTAATCCTCCAACCCTGACACAAAATAGGTGCATGCAGTGTGCAGTTAAAGCAAGGTGTGAGTAGGGCATGGTATTCAATAAGACACACTGCTCACAACATGTTCCAGCCTTAGAAGTACACATCCGGTTGTACTCTGCCACAGATGCAAAAAGAAGCTCCCTCACACTAGAGCTGCACCCGGGAACCTTCTTCACCCTGATCACCTCCTTGAACAGCAAGCCAAGGTCCAAGGGTCCAGGCTTTTGCTTTTCACTTGTGCGATGCGCAGTGCCTCAGTTGGAAAGGGGAAAGGGGAAAGTTGCAAAGTAGTTGCATGAAACAGTATCACCAAGTGCATGATTTGAAGTCAGCTGAGGAGCACAAGGTCTCATAGAGAGCATCATGGGCAGAACGAGGTGTGTAGTTTGCTCGCAAGTACTTCAAAGATGCCAAAAGCTTGCAAAAGTCGTCATCTTTGCTGATCTCTTCTTGGGTCAAACCCTGAGTTTGGATGAATTGACAACCAGTTGTCTGTCTCTATGTGCTATACATAAGTCACATCAATGATTACTATATTTCATAACACACCGCCAAGTAGCCATGTCCACCACCAGGGCCAGGATTGTTTGGCACATGATGCCCTTACAGTGACCATCAATGTACTTGATGGAGTAGTAGTCGATTGTCTCCCCAGCAGCTTGGTTGAATTTCACTTCCAAAGCTTCAGATTCAGACCGGTACCCCTTCCAAACCACTGAAGGCAGGTGTGCTCTCACCTGTACCATGGAGGGGTACTTCCCAACTTGGCCATACTTGGCTTCCTCACTCAGGTCGAGCTGCCATGGATGACAATAGACATTTGTCCTGGCCGATGCTGGAACAGTCTTGAGCACAGGCCCAAGTCCACTGGGGATGTTCGCTGCCACTTCTGGTAAGCTGAAGATGTCAGCCATAGCCTGCAAGGCTTCTTCAATAACTAGTCTTGTTTCAAGGGCAGTCATCAACAAGTTAGACTTGAGAGCGTTGAGAACACATGATTTCAACTTGAACCTTGGTAAACTGTAGTTGTTTTCCTTCATCTTGTCCATGCTTCTCGTAGATGAAGTAGCCAATGTTCACAGTAGCTGCCACCTGTTCAGGTTCAGCTTACCAAACATTCACTGTAGTGCCTTTTGCATGACTTTCCATGGTGGCTAAGTTTAAGATGTGCATCCCACCTCCTCAAAATGTTGCAGAAGCCTGTGCTTCAAAGAGGTGCCGCATTTTGTTTCCTTCTCTTCTCCTGCCTCTTCCTGCAATCATGAAATTGAAATTAATGACACAAAGTGTTGCACTGGTTTGAACCTTCGAGCTGAATGCACCCTGCCTTCACTGCAGAAGGGGCTGTAACAGCTAACGCCATGTGTGCTACAGCAAAGGTTCCGACCTAGATAACCACTCACCTTGCTGCGGGTGCATGTTCAAGAATTTCTACATGAATAAGATCGCATCATGCATGGTGCAGTACTGAATGCACACTGAAGGCCAAACAAAACAACACAGACATTTTTCAATGGTACCTGTGAAACTTCACTTCAAGCTGATGAATCCTGTGGGGCTCAGGGTGGCTGAGCACAACACTTCCACGCTGGACTGGACAATTGTTTCCTACTGTAATGAAATCCAACTTGGGAGGGTCATTTACCTCCCTGGCCAGCTCTCCTGCCAACATCCGCAGATATCGAACTCCACGGCTGTACTGTGGAAAATCACTCTCCAAAATCTCTGCAAGGCTTGAAAGGCATTCTTTGCGCTCATCATCCAGATAGTGCGCGGTCCCTCAGCTGATTAACCCACGGAGGGGGTCCAGTCAGTCACCAAACGCTCATGACAACTGCTTCAGTATAATTCTTTTCCACAAAGATTCAACCATAAAACTTGATGTTTAACAAGGTTCTGGGGCAGTCAGCATCAGCAATTGCTGCAAGTGCTGGAGACACCACCTCTTCCACAGTGTCTCCAGGCAGGACCAGCAATGCAGGCTGTGAAAGACCATGGTCACTGACAAAAGCCTTCACCAAACAAAAGATATCATTCGATCGCTGTTGAAATCTTCGAGGAAGTCTTTGTTTTGCCTCCTCAAGCAATGTAGAAAGCATGCCTAGGCTTGGACTGAACACCAACTTCCAAGAACTTTGAAAATCAACAATAGCCCTATCTTGAGACAAGTAGCGGCTCCGCTGAAGGAAAGTGAATGAGTGAGGGATGACCTTTACATCATCTTTCGATCTCTTGCGGTATGCCCCACTCAATTCAGCCACATCTGGGAGGGCTGCTTTCCAGTTCCGAACTGCCTGGATGTAGTCAACATGGAAATCAAATCCTTTCTCTTGAAAGATTGGCGCCACACGTTGAAGAAGTAGCCTCAGCACCAGGGTTTCAACTTGGCTCCATGCCACTTCCAAGCTGCAAGTACCTGAGGCTGGAACGCTTTGATGTCCAGTGGTGTTTGCCTCAGGCTCAGCTTCTGCTCTAAGTTCATGACCATGGACTTGTTTTTGACCAGACTTTTGTTTGTAGCCAAGAAGCACTCGATCATCTCCGCTGCGAACAAACTTTGTCAGGAGGCCAAAAAAGGCATCTTAGAAGGTCAAAGCAATTGAACAAAACAATGCATGGCAAAAGTGACAACTGTGCAAATTTGTAGGCAAAGCGGAGTGCATCCAAGGTGCCGACATCCTCATGTGTATGGCCCACACAGAGGTGCTCATGGGAGATTTGGGTGAATGCAGAGATAGCGCACATACTGCTTGCCCATGCGCCAAAAACACCATTCTTCACTTCCTCAGATACTCATGGCTGTGCGCAGTCTGAGCCAAAAGGCGTTTGGAGAAAACAAACAACTTTATCCTGAAGAAAGCTGGGTCTCTTTTGGAGCGTTGTCAGCAAACACTTTGAGGATGTGAGGCCATTGAAACCCTTTCTGTTGGGCCTGAGTGAATGCCAAGGTTCAGTGAACGGTTGACGACTTCAAGAACCCATGAAGATCCAGTGGCTTCTCCCTCATCAGCAATAGCAACATAGATAAGCCGTCCATGTACTAAGCTGGCAGTGACCTCGCAAGATGGGCGAATATACTTCACGAGGTCCTTTGGTGTCCTCCCACCCTGATATTTTGGGAGGAGAAACTTTCCACGGTCCATGCTGTCCGTGATGATGGTCAAAATGTCCATATCACGCTTGGCGTGGGTTCTTGCACTCCAGTATGTAGACCGGTCCAAGAATTGGCCTTGAAGATGGCGCATTAACAAATCAGCATTCTTTGCATGTGTGTTGATGTCCTTTGCATGTTTCAATTTCGCTTTCAAGCGCTGGCATACAGTGCAAGCTGAGTGAGAACTCTCTGGTCTGAACTTTAAAACTTTGCGCCAGCCAGTCTCCTTGAGAACCCTGTAGAAGGTGGTTGGTGATGCAACGTTCATATCTTGTGATCTCTGAAAAGATACATAGAGGTGGTAGAGATCAGCATAGCAACCTGGAGGGAGGTAGCGTCGCACTAGTTGTGCTGGGCCCATATTCAAAGCAGACTTTGACAAGTCTGACTCCAACGCAGTGTCAACCAGCAGTTGCAATAATCTCTCCCTGTCAGGTTCTGTAGCAAGATGCTGGCCAGGATCGTGCACTTTAAGCCTAGTAAGCTGTTTTGGCAAAAGGATTTAAGCAAATAGTGTATGACATCTACCCCAAAGATCATTTTCATGCCTAGCTTCACACAGACTAATTCCAGCCAAGTTTCTCGTGAGGAAGGGTCTCCCCCAAAGACGAGTACATGCGCTCGCAAAAAGAGCTGACAGAGGCAGCGGCATGAGCACTGCGATTTGCTGCGTTGCCTGCTAGTTTTTGACAACAAACGACACAAGAACATGCAGATACCAACCAGCACATGTTGATGACATTTTACAATGGACCCACTTGTGAATTGCAAATGAGTTGCTGTACTTTCTTTGGTCCTCTCCTTGGAAGCAATGGCGAGTTCTCACCAACCTGCAAGAAGATATGCCCATCAACTTGCAGAAAGCTTCCCTGCAAACCTGCACTCCTGACCATGGAAATGTAAAATGATTCACATTCATGTGGTTTGCAGCTTCAGTGAAAAAACATAATGTGAAGCCATGCCTTCAATGAACCAGGATGACATTGTCCGTTCACTTGTTGATGAACTTGAGCTGGAACTGGTGCTGCTGTCAGATTCACTGCCAGGCTCAGTGGTGCTGCTGACTCTTGGTTGCTGGATGCCCCAGAGCACACAGTCTTGCGCCGCTTTGGACAAGCTCCAAAACATTTGGCACAGTGCCAGAACTGTTGCTTTACCCACATTCTTTCTACAGTCCCTTTTGCACTTGCAAAGGTTTCCCTGCAACAACTTCACAATGCGTTTAGGGTTTTTCCATTTGCTGCTGCGTGTGATTCATTCTCATCATCAGCGGTTTCTCCTGGAAACATTTGCAAGGTTGCAATGACCAGTTCATTCCGTCCTTTCTCTGGAAGTCCACAATCATCTGCATCATCACTGTCATCACTGCTGGCCGAGGATGATGAAGAAGAGGCTTGGCGCTGCCTCTTGCTAGCAGACGATGAAGAGGAGGAGCTGGATGGAGCATCAAAGCGCTTCATGGAAGCTAAATTGTAGATGAATAGCCTAGCGTGAACAAGTACTTGTTTTCTTGACATGTAGTTGGTGTGCACAGTTTTGTGTGTGTGGAAGGCTTAGGGTCACTGTTGATATTGTGTTGCATAAATAACTATTTGTGGTCTATGTTGAAGTCATGCAGCTACTGTTTGGAACCTGGATAAGTAAAAGAAGCACAGAGAAGCACACACTTGTACCACAGTGCATGAAAATCATCTGAGCGATACTGAACATAAGCAAGAGTCAGCACGAGTGCAAAATTTGTTTTACCACACCCCTCTTCATGACGCGTGCTTTGCGCGAGCCGAACGGCAAAACCTGGCCGGATCAGCTGCAGCTAGTGTGGCCAGGAAGGCGCTCGCCACACTCTTCACATGCATTGCCTGAAGCTCAGGGCTCAGTGCACTGTTTGATAGCGCAACTGCACAGTGCACAGAACATTAATTAAGCCAAGTTGCATTGCCAGCTAGTTGATGGAGTTCCTAATGAAACCATGGAATGGAATGCAAGCAAAAGAAAAATCAGCAAAGAGGAAACCATCACATGTCAAACATGTTGAGATGCTACCGAGTCTCATGCTCTGACATGTGGTCCAGCTTCAGCTTGTGCACTGGAAAGCGCTGGAACACCAGCTTGTCTATTCCAGTGAAAGGCCGTGAGCTTGAGAAGTCCCAAAGCTCAGCAGCTGGTGTCACACATGGACACAGCGATCCGCTGCCCATCCTCTCAATGGATTGACTGAAATTCACTGTGCCCAGGACTTTGGCAGTGAAGCGAATGTCAGCAGCCTCAGTGGTCTCTGCATGACACTTCTATGTTCAAAATGAGTGTGTCAAGATGCACAACAAAGCTAGGCCCAAAACATGGCGAATCCTTTGTGGGCCATAGAAGCTTCTCACTGGATTGCACGTCCTCAATCCGGTTGGGTCCACCTTCAGGATAGGATGATAGACATGTCTCATGCAAATTCAAACATATTCAAGCCAAACCCAAATTGATTGCTGTCCTCCATCTCCTCCATGTAGTCAAAGTGCTTGTGGGGCCATCTTGGGGAGTCTTCTGTAGGCCTGAGTCACCCCACTTGCCAAGTGACCAAGGCTGTTTGCATCTTTGCCCAAACAATCAAAAAGGCGAGGGACCGCTGTCGAAGATTCAAAGGGGTCTTGGTGGCGATGACATTCTCACTCATGTTGTGCAAGACCTTCTTGACATAAGCAGTGTCTCGCCCCAGCATCAGTTTCTGCCTGGTGCCACATTATATTACGATATGTTGCACTGCACTGAAGTCATCAAACTTCATTCAACACATGGCTGAGGGTTGCGCGCTGAAATCACTGGCACCTCTGAACCTGTGTGTAGGGCATCCACAGATTTCTGAACCGCATCTTGGAAATCCACGTCTGTGACGATGCTAGTCCGTGTGACAGCCCTTAGATAACAGTGATGGTTTACAAAGCAAGTGTGAAAAACATGTTGAAGCATGATAGTATGCAGTGCATCAAGGGCACTTTCTGATGAACACAATGTAGAGCCGCCTTCGTGTCACTGGCTCCCCCAGCTTCTTTGGGTCCAGCCTCAATGGTACAGCTTTTTCAGGCCAGCCTCCTCGAACATCTCGTCAGCCTTGGGAGCTCAGAAAGTTGTAGCTTTCAGAGACATTTGGTGGTAGCATATTGGTCTAAGTCACCTCCAAGTAGTAGTCCATGAAGCCATAGACGTTCTCCAGCGCTGCAACCAATGGCTTTGTCCTGATACACGATGAAGTGAAAGCACTGTGAACTAGAATTGACAATTACTTCCAGACAACTTAGGTCAACAGTCCTCTTCATTGCTGCAATGCAATGGCTCAATACTTTCCCTTCCTTCTCATTGAACCCTTCAGACTGTGTGCGAAGCCTTGAGAACCTCAGTGCCCAAGGCTTTGGTTGCAAAGTGAGTGAGGGCTGTGCAAACATTGGTTGGCAGGCACATAATTTAGAAAGGAGTCGGCTGGCAAGGGAATCCTGCAGCATACAGGATGATGTTGTCCAAGCCATCGAAGGTGCGGCCCGCCATGTCCAGGTACAGCCTTCGCATAGAATCAAATGCATTCAACCCATTAGCTTTAGCATGACACAGTTATAAAACACTCTAGATATAAGGGTCTGGCCTCTCAGGCTTCGAGTTGGGCAGAATCATCTTCAGTGGTCCACATGCATGGTCGCGTGCAGCCACCAGCTTGACCTGCTGTGGCAAGAGGGCCCCAGTTAATTTCATAGACTGACCTTGACTGACCTTGCCTCTTTCAAGGTTTCCCTCAGCCCTCAATAGCAGCCGCAGGCACCACAGCCTGAGCAACAACAATTAGTGGATGTCAAGGGAAATTTAAGGGGATGCTACCAGTGAGGTCATCACTGCTATCAAGTTGCAATCAGACATCAATGTCCATCCAAGCCCAGCTTGCACCATCTGTCTCACTAGTGGCAGGGCTCCTCAAACAAAGATGCTGCAAGTTAGTTGATGACTGACCCATGCAAAATATGGATTTCAACGTTTCAATATGTATACTTCTACGCATTGAGCTAAATGCAACTTTGGATCCAGTCTTCTGTGTCATCTCATAGCCCCAGCCACAAAGGTGATCCACCTGAGCCCTGCTCAGAACTGCTTGCGGTGCCACCTTCAGAGTCCTCAGCTTTGCACAAAAAAAGAAAAAGTTGCAGTGCTGCAGGAATTAGACAAGGGTGTGGAATAGACATGAGACAAGGCTCTGCTCTGCACAAGCGATGTTGAAAGCCAGATTCTCATCTACAGAGCCATCGCTCTCAGAGGAGTTCGAAGACCCATCCCCACTTTCAGAGTCGCTCTCCGAAGATGAGGATGGATCACTGGGGTCTACCTGAAACCTTTTCATCTTGACCCCACAAGATCTGCAGAATGAAGTATTGGTTTCCAATGGTTGAATCATTGGTTTGTCTGGTTGACTCTTATATATATATATATTCATAAAATGTACTGAGCTGTTCGTAAGCCCGACGGGACCAAAAACAATCCGTAATCCGTGTAAACCGCGCTTGGCGCGCAATCCGTTTTAATCCGTAATCCCGGCTATAATCCGTAATCCGTAACATGATTGGCCACCCCGCAAGCGCTCACGCGCCTTTGTTTGTCAAGCACCACGACGTCCAGGATGCAAAGTCAAAAGACTTAGATCTGGTGAGGTTTGTGGATGACCCTGGCGCTTTGCACAGAAGCTTGTGTGAAGCAGCCGCAAGCGTTTGCCGAGCGTGCCACTAGAGGCGGCAGACCACAAGAATGCGGCAGAAGACCACAAGGATGCGCCAGCAGAGCTGGTGCATCCGGCAAGGTGCAAGGACCTGCCAGGATGTGTCAGCGTAGGCCCGCTGGCATTTTTTCGGGGCAAGATCGAAGCCTGGCTGGAAAAAGCTGGGAATGATCCGATGTAAGCGGCCGTGAATACAGCGTAAGGGCCAAGAGGTGTGTGCTTCTTGTCGACTTTTGTTTCTGGAAAGAACCCAGACACCAACTGAGCTTTTGCCCAAGCGGTAGGGCTGAACCCTCAGACGGGGGAGTTACTTTGACAATCCTTTTCAAGATTAGGACTCGGTAGATTCAGCTTTCGCCAAGCGCAATCAAAACTAACCCCCTCAAAAGGCAAATCTGGGCTAAGCCCGCAGACAAGGGAGTTGCTTTGACAATCCGTTTCAAGAATAGGACTCGAGCTGTCCAGCTGGAGGGTGGAAGATTGGGCGCGGGCGGAGGCTGAGGGAGTGGATGTTGGGCGGGCTTGGGGCTATGTTGCGCACAGCTTGGGTCTAGCTTAGGCCATCTGGAGCCTTCGTTGCGCGGTCTTGGGGCTATGTTGAGCATAGCTTGCGTCTAGCTTGGGCCATCTTGGGCCCATGTTGGCTCAGCTTGAGCCCATCTTGGCCTAGCTTGGGCCCATGTTAGCCCAGCATCTGCCCACGATGCGGACGAAGCACCCGTGCGGCACGCATTTCCAGCATTATTTGGGTCTATGTTGGGCTATGTTGACCCATCGTGAGCAACAAGAGCGGAAAAAGAAACATCAAAAACCCTGAGTTTTCTGGGGCCCCCACCTGGGGGCGGCTACGCTTTCTGCTTCGCAGAAGGAGAAGTGCATTACGCAGGACACGGCCCTGACGGGGCTCATCGCCCCTGGCCGGATTTTGCTCGCTGGGCAACGCCGGGTTCCCGGCGTCCCTTGACCAACAAATTTTGTGGGATTGATGTTGCTTTTCTATCCGCTTGGGCCCAGAAAGAGGTGCTTGTTGCTGCTTCTTGCTGCTCACTTCGCAATTGCTGCTCGCTTCCAATCTGCCCCGCTGGCTTGTCGCGTCTTGATTCTGTCTGCCTCAAGATCTTGTTTTGACATTATATTTGCTTTCAGATGTCCATAAGATGCCGTAGGATTGTCAGTATTATATCGGGTGTATTGTTCCACCGCATGACTCCACCCAGGGCCACCTTGACTTGCCTGTCGTGGCAAAACTGCGACGTGGAAAGAGATTTGGCTATGGTGAGCAGAAGCTACAGGGGCTCACTAAGCACCAGGTCGGAGACGAGACCTTGGACCAGAGGGCCAGGATTCTTCTTTGTGGGCACGACGCAGAAGCAACGAGGCCAGCGGTGCCCCGGCTTTGTGGCCACAGTTTGTCAGAAGTGGGGCGCAAAGAAGCGCCGCCGTCAAGTTGGCAAACGGGTTGGCGCGCAAGAGCCGATGCCACAAAGAGCGGCGAAGCGCCATGCGGGCGCGAACCGCCTGCGCAGGCATCAGGGGAGATGGCAATGGGGGAGACGGAGGAGGTTGACCATGAGCAACTCGTTCCTCGCATGAGCTCTATCTCAATTTCCCTCAAGAAACTCCAGCCGGTAGGATTGAGGTTTCCCCAAGCCCAATCCAAGCTGACTCTCCAATCCATGCACTTTGACAATCCATATCTCCGTTGAATTGAGCTTTGCCCAAGCCCAATCCAAACTAACTCCCTCAAGTGACTCAAGAGGCAAACCGGGGCTGAACCCTCAGACGGAGCTACTTTGACAACCCACTTCAAGATTACGGACTCCGTAGGATTGAGCTTTCCCCAAGTCCACCCCAAACTAATCCCCTCAAGAAGCAAATCTGGGCTGAGCCCTCAGACGAGGAAGTTACTTTGACATACTTTGACAATCAATTTCAAGATTAGGGACTCGGTAGGATTGAGCTTTCCTCAAGTCCAAACCAAACTAACTCCCTCAGAAGGCAAATCTAGGCTGAGCCCTCAGACGAGGGAGTTACTTTGACATACTTATGTGTGCCGTTTGGAAGGTCCAGGTGCAATATGATCAACTACAATATGTATATTATAGTACGCCCCAATCCAATAGCTTGACATACTTTAAATCCACTTCAAGATTAGGGACTCGGTAGCATTGAGCTTCCCCCAGTCCAATCCAAACTAACTCCCAAAGAAGGCAAATCTGGGCTGAACCCTCAGACGAGGGAACTACCATGACAATCCATTTCAAGATTGGGACACGGTAGAATTGATCTTTCCCCAAGTCCAATCCAAATTAATTCGTAAACAACCTGGGCCTAATCCGCAATCCGCTCAAACCATCTAATCCGTAAACCTACCCAATCCGTAATCCGGTGGGGGATCAGGATTGGTTATGAACAACAGCCCAGAGTATGATTTGTACCAGCCCCACAACAAGCGCTGGAAACTGCTCCACATGCTCCACAATCAACAACTAAATTGACTTGCAAGACGAAGGCTCAATTCGTTGAAGTATACTTACTAGATCTTACTAGTATCATCTGCACAAGGCCCCAAAAACAAATGCTGAAGACTGCTCCACAACAACGACTATAGTGAGTGAAGGAACACATGAATGAGCGCCTGACAATCCTTGAAGTGCTTGGACCACCGACTCTAATGCGAGTAGTACTTGTACTGCCGATTGTACTGCCGTCGATGTCGACGCTCAGTGCGGCGATGTTGACGGCTGTTGCGACGGTTGTACCTGCGCGGTTTCGTGTGACTGATCGATCTATAGCGGCAGGACGCGATTGTGTCGACCAACCGCCCAACAAGAAACGTATGTTCGCTTCGTTGGTGGTATACTGCCATGTCCTTAGGATTGTCGCAAAAGCTGCCTTCCCGGCAGACTTTAAAGCCTCTCAGCAATGACACATAATTAAGTATTTCAAACATGTTCAAACAACATTGGGTCAATTCACTATAGCAAACACACTCTCCACACCTGTAGTTGTACGGCTTCTTCGTCTTTGTAGTTGTGTCTGGAGCCGTTGTTGTCGTGATGTCCGGAGCTGTTGATGTGGTAGGCGAGGTCGTGGGCGATGTGGTAGGCGAGGTCGTGGGCGATGTGGTAGGCGAGGTGGTGGGCGATGTGGTAGGCGAGGTCGTGGGCGATGAGGTAGATACAGGTGCACAGCAACCTCCACAATCTGGGGCTTGACCGCTGGCGGTTGCTTCACAACAAGCCGCTGTGCCGCAAGGATCGCTGCTTATTGTGCATGGGTTGCCTTGGAGTGAAAGCCTTCACATTAGTGGCCAACAAACTCACATGCATAATACGCAAACACTCCACGGAACTGGCATAGTTAAGGTTCAGTGCCACTGTGGCTTGGGGGTGAATGTAGTCACATCTTCCAGTCCCAAACAGGTCGCAGGGACAACAATTCATCTGAGATACTGCCCACAGGTTCGGGATCGCAATCGATGTCGCCGCCCAAGAAATCGCAGTTCCCATCTGAGTCAGCTTGGGCTCCGGAGCAAAAGCAAGTATTGCCTCGCGAGGGAAAAGGCGAGTCGAAGCACGAATAAAGCCCGATCGCTACGTTCGGAACAAGAAGCTATACTATATATAAGGGAATTTCTACCACGAGTAGGAACAAGAAGCTAGAATTTCTACCACGAGTAGGAACAAGAAGCTACTGGGTTGGAGGCCATCGCTATTAGGTTGGAGGCCATTACTACCAGTAGCTAGAAGCTAGTAACTCTCGTTCACTGCTAAACTATGTTCCTGCTCAGCGCTAGCGGATGAATCCTCAGGCCCTAAGGCGGCATGGGGGGCTAGTGTGTTCCCAGGAGATTACTGGTCCAAGGCCTGTGTCAATGGAAGGGTCAGGCTCCAGAGGCCATGTCAATGGCTACAAAGAAATGTCAGTGTCAACATGAGGACACTATTAGTAACAAAAGGCATCGCAGCAAGGACGCTACTAGGGGCTCCTGGCCTTACTACTAGAAACGAGAAGCTTCTAGGAGCAAAGGGCATCGCTACTAGGAGCAAAGAACTCAAAAATTCATCAACAAAGAACTCTAGCAATCATTGGTCTATGTCTCGCAGAACAGACTCGATCGATTCGATCGGCGCCTTTGTCAAGGCCTTTTCCCAGACTCGACCTGTCTGGGACTGGAATAGCTATGGCAGCTATGGCCTCTGACGCTACTTTCGATATCTTGCGATGGCCTCCAACCTCAAAGCGAGGGCTTCAGACCTACTTGCGAAGAGAAACTTAAGAGTGGGAATGCAAGCTCGTTCTTCCCTTACAACCTCGGGTCAACCACCCCAACTGATTGGTCGTTTTGTTGGGCTTTGTCCGGCAACCCCCGCCTGATCCGGCCATTTCACGAATCTCGAGTGAATCGCAATCGCCAGTTTCCACACATGTGAGGTGGAGGCAGCTGTTGCCAAAGAGCCCAATCACGGTGCTTGAGCTCTCACACGCGGTGGCGAAACCTTTACCATCGCATGTCATGGAGATCTTTGAATTGGACTTCTCGAACCAGAAGTTCGCCCCCTGGCATGTGTCTTCACCCTCGCACGTGACACAATGATCTCCGGAGTCGGTAAAGAGGAAGCCATAGCCCAGCGGGTAATCGTCGGTTCCACTGTTGCAAGCGGCTTGAAGCGTGTTTCCAGTGCGCGTGGACGTGGAGCTGCAAAAGAGGTTTCGTTGAATCTCAAACCTCGATTGCGTACCTGCAGAGTTGCTTCTTTTCAGGAACCCTGATTTTTTCAGGTGTTTCAACCATAGGGAAAATAAAACATATGTCTTAAAGCAAACACCCAGGTACAGCTTGTCCCCCCAAGACAAGACAAGCTGTTGACCCCTGTGAAGAAGGACTCATAGCAGCATGCCTCAGTCGAGGTTTCCGGTGCTCTTCCGCAGTCAAGCACTGCCACTCCTCTCCTTCCACACCCTCCAACCATTTCACTGGCCTACTCTTAGAGAAAGAGACTCAACAGGCGGTTATTCACATCCAGCGGCTTTGTGGTCGGTCCCCACAAATGGTGATCTGATTTCCCACAGTCTTGGTGGTCCAAAGAGCGTCATGGGAAATATCAATATACCAACCCGTGACCCATGTAATAATAATTTTTACCAGCCCCATCCAAAGGGTGGTTATTATAGATGGAAAATAGATAGTCAGGGGGGTCTATAAACCACCCGAACTGGGTGGTGCTGGTACCATAATCCACCCATGTCCAGTTTCCACTTTTCAAGAAATCCTTGCCATCTTCGACGTCTTGCATGTCTTGGTGCAAGACTCCTTTCGACCCCAAAAGTCACGCGTGACGGCGAACACAGGTCTGGCGAACACCGGTGAAACGGGTCAACGGCTCTTTTTTATGTCAAGACATCGCCCACTTCCGGACGCAGTGGCGCGTTCCAGACTATCCCGGGGGAAACAGGCAACGGTCGAAACGTGGACCATCCAACTCCTCGTGAAGAGACACCTGGTCACAGTCGCAGCACACATCCTGCGTACATCCGCTGTCTGGATCGGTGGTCAAGTTCAGTTTGGCGGCGTTGTTGCAGGCTTGCGTGTCATCGACGGCGGCGGTGCAGCAAACGGACCCAACGTTGTTCACGTTCCAATCACCCTTGCAAGTTCCTGATGGGAGTTGCTGTCAACAAAAAGCAAGAAGTGAGCCCAAAGCCCAGAAGAGGATTCACCACCCCCCCCAGACACACACACACACACTCGCACACACACACACAAATCATCCTAAGGAAAACCAGGACTATCTTCAGGAGCTTCCTGCAGGTTCTGCCCAGTCCTTCTCCATCGCAGATCAAGTAGTCGGAGGAGCTCCTAAACTCGTAGAAGTCGTTTTCTAACATCCCGAAGCACGCCTGCATGGTCGACGTGCCGAGAGCAACGATCCCAAACACGAGTTGGCATATCTACTAGGATCATCCTGTCTGGGTCCGGGTGTCCTGGCTAGACTACCCTACCTTGGGTGTATCCCTTCCCTAGCAAACAAACTGGTTTTTGTA